ATTGCTTGCTGGCTTACTACCATTATGTTTGTGCATCAATAGTAAATGCCTATTACCGGAACACAATTTGAAGCTATAGATTTTTAAGTGGTCGATCATGTCAACTTTCAAATATTCTAATAATTGGCCAGAACTTTACGTTTTCTCTTTTGTAAACTAAGGAAGGACACAAGTTGAGAAACACATTAGCACAATCAAGGTGCTCTTAGAGGGAACAAAGAAGGGCAAGTAGTAGAGTTTTGAGCATGTAAAAAAGTGCACTACTTGTTCGTTCTTTAATGACAATAGAATTTGCGTGATCTTGATGATTTGGTTTCTTGTAATGTTCTCTTTTAGCCATGCAATGGTAATGGAATTGTCATCAAGCAGTTCAAATTTCCCCACTATAAACTATTTAAAAGAGCTTAACCCTCATCTTAATTAGTGCTTCAATTCATATTCTAATATAAGCCTGTACGAGGGGACAAAACTAAAGGGGTTTGTATGGATTAGTGAGTTGGAACACAAAGCCGTGTTCTAGAGGACTTTCTGCTAACTTTACTATGGTGTTAGGCCCACATTCTATCAGCTAAATTTTCTAGTTATAGTCATCTTCGCGTGGTTTTAAAGTTGTGATAAGAACTTGATCAGGTTTTGGTTACCAGCTACTTCCCATTAACACAAACAATAATACGAATCTTTGGTCTTTTGCTTGACATCTTTCATATGACCTTTCAAAACTTTGTTCTCTACTTCATTTTGGGTTTATCCTTTGCATATACATGCACTTCAGGAAAAAGAAGCACCTTGGTGTCGGTGCCACAAAGAGTACTGCTAAAAATTTCATCGTACATAGACGAGAAAATGTCTAATTTGGACATGAAGTTAAAAACTTTTGGGTTCGAAACCAATAAAATTTGAACTAGAGCTAGCAAAAGCGGGTTACCCAAGCTATTCTAGCAAGCTCATTATGGGCGGCGAGCTTTAGTGGATAGGACATAAGAAAACTTGAATCTAATTTGCACTAAAAAAATGGTATTCAAAACATGTAAAGTTTAATTTTATTTTATTTTTAGGTTTTTACGAGTTTAATTTTTAAAAAAAAGCTTCCATTTTGTCTTTAATTTAATTTTAAATGAAAAATTATCTATTTATGCTAATTTGTTGATTTCCTCTATTCCATTCCATCATGATTGTACGTGATAAACAGAAATAAATAAATAAACAACCCACATTCATTCTTTTTTATTGACATATGTAATAGAAAATAAGAGGCAAAAGGTTTCATGAAGTTATGTAGTACATATTGTCAAGTTATTATTATTATTATTATTATTATTTCACTATCAAATTACTCTTTTCTTCTAAATTTTAGGTACTCGTGTCTATTTATGTATTTATTTAAATTAATTGTATGTATCTTTCATAAAATTTTAAATTTTTTCATCAAATATTTAATACTTTTTTTTAATTTTAAAAATATTATCAAAATTTTAAAGTACCAATATTTTTACAAAATACTTACTTATTTACCTTCTGAGTTAAAATGTTAGCTAAAAATATAAAAGATAAAATTAACAATTTTGTCCTCGTATTTTATCTCTTATAATAACCTTTTTTATTCAATTTAATATTTTAGTTTATATTTTTATTTCAAATTACTCATTTTGTCATAACATTAATAGATCTCGCATAAAGTTGAAATTTTCTTTAAATATTTGTTAAAAATAATTATAAGAGTAGGCATGAATAATTTATTTTATTAATATGTTGTAAAAATAGGGGAAAAGACAGATATGACTAAATAAGCTTATAAATAAGATTTTAATACTTTATTTTAAAAAAAAAAAAAGCTTTGGAAGATTTTAGTCTTTTAAATATTGAAGATATTAAACGCTTCAAATATAAAAGAAGAATGCATCATTAGTCTTTAAAATTATAAACAATATTTAATTTAATTTCTAAAATTTTAAGCATAATTTAATTTAATTCTTAAAATTATAAAATTAAATTATTATTTAAGATAACATGAGTAGTAATGCAAATATTAAAATATATATATATATATATATTTATAATTTTAAGGAGAAAATGATAAGTGTCTGTAATTTTGAGAGTCATGTTGATTAACTTTTTAGAAATTAAAAAGATTATTTTAAAATTTTAAGGATTAAATTAAATTGTCTTTATAAATTTTAAAACTAAAATAATTTATTTTTTATGATTTTAGATAATGTATTTTTTCATAATTCTAGAAATTAAATAGACAAATATCTATAACTTCAAGGCTAAAATGACTATTTTTAAAAATTTTATAAACTAAAATAATATATTACTTATTAATAAAGGCTTAAATATATTTTTGGTTCTTATAAATATAGCATATTTTATGATAATTTTTTGTAAAATTTTTATTTAAGATTTAGTACCTAAAATATTAAGATGTTAAGATTTATTTTCTGCCTTTAACTTCTGTTAAGTACAAAGCTAGTCACATCATTTAGTTTTTTAAATATTTTAAACTTAATTATGTCTTTTGTCCCCGTAAGTATAAACATTTTGTAATAAGTCATTATAAAATGTTTTGTTAGAATTTAGTTTATGAAATATTAAAAAGTTAAGATTTAATTTCTGAGCTAACTCATGAAAAGTTAACTCGTCAATGTCACATATTGTCACATCATTTAATTTTTTTAATATTTTATTATTTAAAATTAATACATACAAATAAGTTGTAAAACATTAAATATTTATTAAAAAAATCACTAAAACCCTAATCACCTTCCTTTTTTGGCCCTTCTTTTATTTTATTTTTTTGTCTCTGTCTCTCTCTTCTATTCTTGAGACTTGAAAAATTCAATGAGTATTAAGAATTAGGTTAAAGGACCTATATCTTATTGAGAATCAAGATATTAAGACTTGCTGGTGGAGCACCAAAAACTAACAAGAAAAGAGGAAGAAAAAGAAGAAAGCACTAAAAGAGATGAGAATTAAGGTTTTAGAGAACTTTTTTATAAATATTAAAAATATATCAAAGACTTGTTTGCAAATATCAATTTTAAATAATAAAATATTACAAAATTAAATAATGTATAAGTTGACTATCTATGAGTCAATTTAACATTTAATAGACAAATAATTAACTGTAGAGAATAAATCATAACTCCTTGACATTTCAAGGAATAAATCCTAACAAAAATTTTATATAGATTAATCACAAAATATACTACACTTATAAAGACTAAAAATATAATTATATAAGCCTAAAATATTTAAAAAATTAAATGATATGACAGTGATGTGGAAGTGTTAAACTAACTCTTTATCAGCTAGCTTAACACTTAAAAGTTGATAACAAAAAATAAATCATAAACAAAAACTTGATAAAGATTTATCACAAATTATGTTTAAGCTTCTGATAACATGTGAGATTTATTTAATATTATAAAATTGTAATACTAAATCAATATTAAATATAATTTTAAAATACTAAATAATTGTTAAAATTAAGACAAAATCTTTAAAATTGAAAGTTTTAATGTATTTTTATAGATAAAATTATTTATTTTTAGATTAATTTTATATTATTATTTAATAAAATCTAATTTTTATAATGAAGAATGCCAGTAAAACACACTCTATAACATACTTTTTTAACACATTTCTAACTATTAATTATTGAGAAATAAAAAATTACGCAGGTCTCACTTTTTCTCACACATAAATTAACGTTTCTTTATCATATTTTTGTTATTTTTAATAAATTTTATCTAATAGTTACTGGTGTGTTTAAAAAAATATATTACTACCATTCCTTTTTCCTAACAAAACTTGGAATGTAATCCCATAAAAGCACTATCATTCCAACTCTATTCTTTTTCAATTTTTAGAGTTACATGATACAAAGGAAGAACCTAGGGACCAAAAAGTGGTGGGGGAGAGGAAGAACCTAAATCTCACTTCTCATCCTTTCTTTTTTCAGACTTATGTATACCAAACTAAGCGAATGCAAGTTCAATCACTTGAATAGAAAAAGATGAATGTTTGATAATTGAGATAAATTCATTGACCCTTTCTAAATTTTAGCTTTCCGTTAACAACATAAAAAATGGACCATAACTCCAAAAGAAGAATAATAATAATGGAAAAAGTAACCCATAATTGCGATTCGTTGACTCCTAGTTCCTGGCTGAAGCATCATTATTGAAGACAAAAGAGAGTAGTGTGGGCGCCACTGCACCCGATTCATGGTATCCTAACCCAAACATGACATGAGTAAGTCATTGGCCATTGTTTCTTCCCTTTGTTCTCAGTAATAACCACATATATGGTTCAAATTATGCCAACGGTCGAATTGGGCCAAGCCAAGGGAACACTAGTGAAGTGGCAAATGTGGCACAAACATGGAGATAAGGAAGGCATAAGGAATAAAACAACACACCCTCTTCCACTTTTCACACACTACGACCAGGAAATAACCCAAAAGTACAAGTACCATAATTAAAAGACACTTGAGGCACACTAATATGTAGTTATCCGAACACAAGGACCTTAGATATTTTTAATGACCATTAAGAAAAAGAGTTTTAATTATTCTGATTTTAAACCATCTATGGAAAGAAATGTTTTGTTAATACGTTTAATAACACAATAATTAATTATATTTTATAAATTTTTATTTAAAGTTATAAAATTTTACATATTAATAATGTTAAATACTCTAGTTTTTGGCAAAAATATATTAGTTTTTTATTGTATGTTTTTAACGACGTATTAAAAATACCGATAAAGATCTTGCTTTAGTGTCCGACAATATCTCTACAAATTAGTTTCGTATCAATTATGGAAAATTAATTAAAGGCTTCAATTCTGAAAAGAACAAAACACACTGAAAGGCTTATCTCTGCAAACCACAGAAATATATAATTATAGTAGTAAATATTAAATAATTGCTACTTACTAAAATTTGTTAAAAAAAAAAAAAAACTAATCCCCCTCTCATTTGCACACAGACAAGATGGATTGCTATCTTATATGCTCATAACTGCTTCAAGTACAATTACAGTGAGATAGTCATATGTGCCAGAAGACAAAGACCAAAACGTCTTCTAGAAGTTGTGTATGGTCTTCAGGTACAAGGTAGCCAATGGGTACCAACTGCAGACACTTTTTTGATAGATTGCATAGTTTTGCGACTTCTTGGAAGAAAAGCAACACTCCAACTGGCAGAAGAAATTTACACAGAGATGTGGAAAAGGAAGAATTCCAATATGCCAGCACTCAATGTCTCTCATCCTATTACAGTGTCTTTGTGGTTCGCCTTGCAATCATGGTCAGTTAAATATTCTACTTAGATTATTATAATTTTTGGTCTCAATTGCGTGTTAGATGCACTTACAATATTTTTGGTGTGTGGAGAGATTATAATCATTATATGTTCTTTAAAATGCTAAAAAAGAGGTAGTTTCCATTGAAAGATTATTACACCCTTTGTGTGCCTATGCTTAATTAAAGGTTCAATTTGTTCGACTAAGCTATTGTTTTGCTATATGCAGGCCATGCTAGCCATCTTGATTGGTCTACTCACTTTCTTGACATGGCATTTCACAAAGATTTATACCACAAAATCTCTTAACAGCTTGGCTTATGACCTGCGTTATGAACTTCTACAACGCCCCATCTTGAGGATGTGGAACGTTTTGAACTCTACTTCTGAAATTACAACAGCTCAGGTTAAGCTGTCTCAGTATGTCATCAGAAGCCACACCAACCTCGCCACTCTTGCAGACCAAGTTGAGGTTGACCTTAATTTACTCATTGTACTTTTTTTTATACTAAGATTGTGTTATGTTGTTCTAGTGTTTGATACAATTTTTAGTCGCACTAAGCAGTTTTCTTATTGTTTTGTTCCACCTCTTACCAGATGTATGACGCAATGAGGGCTGTAACATGGGCACTGTTTGCTAGTAGAAAAGCTCTCAATTCAATAACTGTGAAATACAAGAATGGATTTGTCCAAGCATTCCATAGAGACCTGAAGGATAATAACACCTTTTATATTTACTCTGATCTTGCAAACTACTCCATTGTTGCCGATGGCTATAACGAGATCAATTCACTTTCAATGCATGAAGCTTGGAATGACAAAGACATTCATGATAACAAGTCTGCAATTTGGTACCGCGAACCACTTGACCCTGTCAGTGGTGAGAAGATTGGAAAAGCAATGCCAATTGCACCAGAAGACTCAATCAATATAGCTGGCCTCTCCCAAGTACCTGATGGTGTAGCTTCATGGCATGTTGCTGTGAGCAAGTTTACAGATTCACCATTGCTTTCTGCAGCATTGCCAGTGTGGGACTCTTATAATAAAAGCATTGTGGCTGTTGTGGGTGTCACTACTGCACTTTATAGTGTGGGGCAGCTCATGAAAGAACTAGTTGAATTGCACAGTGGTCATATGTATTTGACTTCCCAAGAGGGTTACTTACTTGCAACTTCCACAAATGCACCTCTATTGTCAAATTCAACAAAGCCACCTAAGCTTAAGATGGCTGTTGACTGTGAAAATGATGTAATAAGAGAGGGAGCTCAGTGGCTACAGAAAACCTATGGGAAAAATTTCCCTCCAAGCCACGAGGTTCATGTAGAAAACGCCAGGCTAGGCCACCAAGAATATTACATTGATTCATTCTTCCTAAACATGAAGAGACTTCCTCTGGTCATTTCAAGACACTGCATCTGTTCATTACATTTGATTTTATGTGTTACAATGCGTTTAGAATCTTACAACGATCTATCAAGGATCATGTAGTAGAATATTTTTTAATGGTCACTCCTTTTTTCTTCTTTGATGATTTCTGACTAAAAGTAAATTCTTGGAAATTTTTCTCCTGCTATTAATCTAGTACTGTTTTTACTGACCAACTGCTCTTATAATTTTTATCCTTCTGATTGTTTACCAGAAGCTTAAACTTTGTGCAGGTGGGTGTAATCATCATACCTAGAAAGCATATCATGGGGCAGGCAGATGAAAGAGCCTTCAAAACACTGGTTATTCTGATATCTGCATCATTGTGTATTATTGTCATTGGATGTGTTTGCATTTTGATATTGACAAATGGAGTATCCAAGGAAATGAAACTTAGAGCAGAATTGATTAGTCACCTGGAAGCAAGAAGGAAGGCAGAGGCGTCAAGCAACTATAAAAGTCAATTTCTTGCAAATATGAGGTTGGTTTTTCAAGTTTAGTGTGAATTTAAAGAATAATTAAGCTCAAATCATATAAAATGGAGAATGAATACCTCAGTCGTAGGTGTCTCTCTTGTTATCAAACGCATATATGTCATATGCTTTATCCAATTTATGATTCGAATTTCTAATTTAGAGAACATGGAAAATAAGTTTAACAGTTGATCCGGAGGCTGAAGGAGTCAGAGACAATTACATTAAACATCTTTTATGTATTCCCAAACCTCATTGTTGTTCGAAACAGTGCTCATAAACAACTAAACAAGACAATATAAATAATCCTGTACACAAAATCTACTCTAAGCTAAAAATACTTCTTCACTTCCTTCAAGGAGAACTAGTAACATATTTAAAATCAGGATTACCAATCTGTTTCGCTTGTCTTAGAAGATTCTGCTTTTGTGCATAACACAAATGTGATTCAATAGCTTTTTCTCGGGTGTATTACAGTCATGAATTGAGGACACCAATGGCAGCAGTGATTGGGTTACTTGACATTCTTATATCTGATGATCGTCTCACAAATGAACAATGTGCAACTGTTACTCAAATAAGAAAATGCTCAACTGCCCTACTCCGTCTACTTAACAACATCTTGGATTTGAGCAAGGTGAGCTATATAAGCTAAGCCTTTTGTCGAAGAACTTGTAATCTCACACTTACAGCAATTACTGAAATGAATACCAGTCAAAAGTTCCTTTATCACTGCCACAAAACTCCATTCATTCCAAAAGTATTTAATATTTTGTAGGTGGAATCTGGAAAACTGGTCCTAGAAGATGCAGAATTTGACTTGGGACGGGAGCTTGAAGGGCTTGTAGATATGTTTTCTGTGCAGTGCATTAACCACAATGTCGAGACTGTTTTAGATCTGTCTGGTATGAATCTTATTTTGTCTGTTTGAGTTAAATTACAATGAAAATCAGATTATTAGTAATCATCAAAACAAATTTCTGACAACTATTGTATTGCAGATGATATGCCAAAGCTAGTTCGGGGTGATTCTGCTAGGGTAGTTCAAATTTTTGCAAATTTGGTCAACAACTCAATCAAGTTTACTCTATGTAAGTCAAACCTTTTTTCATGTGAAGTTTCTCCATACGGTAGGGGGGTTAAATAGAAAAGTTATTGTAGGTAAGAGAAAGTATTATCATTATGTGAAACTTACGTTCTTCAGCAAAAAATCTCACAAAAATTCATAAATGATTCATTGAAAATGATTTCCATATTCACCATTATAAAAGTTGGTTCTAATAATAATAAACATTAAGATTAGTAGATAATTAAAGGCTTCTTGTTTTAAGGCCATGTATATCTTACTTATGATGAAAGCTATATATTTTCAATTTTAACAAAATATTTAGCCAAATTCATTTGAATTAATTCAAAATGTAAGATATCATTCTATTCAAATAAATTGAATTGATGTATACAAGTTCAAATTATTCAATGGGGAAAATATTGTCTAATCTATTGTTGCTGAGGAAAATTGTGTTCATATCAATAGTCGTTATTAGCATGTCTTTTGAGAATTTCAAGGATTCATCAAATGGTTCAATTATTATGGATCAATGACAATGAAGCACTATAACTCGGATGACTAATCTCAACTCTTTCGAATGGCTTACAGCGGGTCACATTATTCTGAGAGGATGGTGTGAAAACCCAAATTCTTGCAGTGATAATGCAAAATTTCCTCTTCAGCAAAAAAAATCACGATGTTCACAAAAGGCCAGAGTTAAGCAGCAAGAAAACCATGCAAAGAGGACCTCTACTAGAGATAACAAAATGATACTCTGGTTTGAAGTTGATGACACAGGCTGTGGTATGAATCAAGAAACTTGCCTGGACGAACTCCATTGAAAACTTTCCCTTATGTAGCAAAAGAAAAATCAGTTTCAAGACTAATTATTTGTTTCCTATGTTTTTTCCATGTTTATGGCTATCTAATTTTCATATGCATCCCGTGCATTCATAGGTATTGACCCAAGTAAATGGGAATCCGTGTTTGAAAGCTTTGAACAAGCTGATCCATCAACTACTAGACTGTAAGTCGACTTAAAGTTTTAACAAAGATATAAATTTGCCAAAAATTACTTTTTAGCTAACAAATTTAACATGACCATATATTATGAGTCACTAAGATTGTCACTGAATTTCCAATTAATTTAAACTGATATCCAACCACAGTATTAGGACCTTCTGAATGTTATGTGCTGAAAATTCAAGAAATTCTGAAACCTTTACTCATTTCAGACATGGAGGCACTGGTCTTGGTCTTTGCATCGTCAGAACCTTGGTGAGTAAGATACTTAATATGTAAAAGTTCACTAAAGTCGAGCACAATTACCATTCATAATGCATGTTTTTTATGAAAGTCAAGAGGTGTCTGCTTGTGCCAGCAGAAATATGTAATTTTATTATATCAGTTGCATATTCTAGACTTAACACAAACAAGAAAATCTTAATCTGTTTAGCAGAGTCAGGTTTCATAACGAGGTCTAAAATTCACTTGAATCTGTCCTTTGTATTCTCAACTGACACGTCTTATGAGTTGAATGTATTTTCATTTTATCGATTTATTACTCTGGAGTGGCAGGTTAATAAGATGGGTGGAGAAATCAAGGTTGTCAGAAAGGAGGGCCCAGGAACATTAATGAGATTATACCTTTGTCTCAGTGCACCCGTGCATGCCACAGAACAACATTGTCAAGTAGATTTTGCTAACAAAGGCTTAGTGGTGAGTAGAATCACCTTGGCACTCAATGACTGAAAAGATAATAAGCAGGCCTTGAAACAAGAGGTGTCAATGCAGGTACTGCTTGCACTACATGGAAACGTGGGCCGGTCAATTACATCAAAGTGGTTACAGAAAAACGGGGTGGTAACTATGGAGGCATCTGAATGGAATGGATTAACACAAATTCTGAGGGAACTCTTTCATTCAAGAAGTTCAGCTCGTAATGATGGCTTTGATGCACACTATTCAGTGCATGATGATTTAAAGTCTAAACTACTGAGCATACAGGAATTAAAAGACCCAATTTCTGTCATTGCTGTTGACATTGGACTACTTGACCTGAGCACAGATATATGGAAGGAACAACTCAACTTGCTTCACAAGTACTCTGGGAGAGCGAAATTTGTATGGATACTAAACCATGACTCCTCCAATACAATAAAGATGGAGCTTCGCAGGAAAGGACATACATTGACAGTGAGCAAACCCCTTTACAAAACAAAAATGATTCATATTTTGGAAGCTGTCATGAGGGAGAAAAATGATGAGCTACAAAAGAAAAACATGACTACTCCAAGAAGCACAATGAAAGAGGGTGATTTGCATGAGAGTCTTGAGATTGATTATACTCAATGTGATGTTGCAAGCTCAGATGGTTCTGACATATCAGAAATGAGTGGTTCTAATCTTGTTATTGCTAATGGAGAGAAGGCGGTGAAATCTCATCTATCATCACAATACCAGATTAATAACTTAGTTGAGTTAACAAATCAATATATGGAAGATAATAATCCTAGGAAGGAAGGGTTATGTCAAAGCAGCCTCAACTCTAATGATATCACTGCAGACGCCACGCTAAAATCATCCTCCCCAAAACAAGCATCTTCTGCAACCGGGTCTGAATATGGTGAAACACATAGGGCCAGTAGCTCAGGTAGAGCAACAAGCAGAAAGAAATCTCTTGAAGGTCTGAGGATATTGCTTGCCGAAGACACACCAGTAATTCAAAGGGTAGCAACCATAATGCTTGAAAAAATGGGAGCCACTGTTGTTGCTGTGGGTGATGGACAACAGGCAGTGGATGCTCTGAATGGCATGCCTAATGTTGAAGATTGTAGAAAGGAATCTCTCTTGAAGGACAGAAACACAAGATCTTCTGAAACTGAGATTCTCAGTGGCCCTCCATATGACTTAATCCTAATGGATTGTCAGGTATGAGCTAGAAGAAAATGTATATATTAATGCTAATAATGCTTTAAAGAATGTAAATATCATACTGTGTTTTGGCTTTGATGTTGGATGTTCTTATTCCTTCTGTTTTTTATAAATAAAAACAGATGCCAAAGATGGATGGCTACGAGGCAACAAAAGCAATCAGGAAATCAGAAGTGGGAACTGGCTTGCACATTCCAATTGTTGCTCTCACCGCTCATGCAATGTCATGTGATGAAGCCAAGTGCCTAGAAGTGGGCATGGATGCCTATTTAACAAAGCCAATTGACTTTAAATTGATGGAGTCTACCATTCTTTCACTCACAAGAAGGACATTCTGACTTTTGACACTGTCGTGAAGTTAATAAAGGGTTGGCTTGGACAATCTAGAAATGTATAGAAGTTTACCAAATATTAACGACACAAGAAGCGTGGCTTAACATGTGCATTCCAGAAATGTAATCCAATTTTCCTTGTACATCAAGTTACTAAACTTTTGTTGCTCTTTTATGTGAATATGTTGGGTTGGAGAGTTTTTAGGTAAGGATCCTTATAATGAGTAGGACACCACAATGCAACCCCAAAACCTTAAGTCCATGGGACCATCTCCTTATAAACTCCTAACTTACTCATATCCCATTTAATATGGGACTCAATTCACACTTGATTCCAACACTTTCCCTTAAGTGTGAACTCACTCATATCTCATTCAATGTAAGACTCAATTCACACTTGATTCCAACACTCCTCCTCAAGTGTAAACCTATCTATTCATATCGGCTCCCTCCACAGGAGAAGTTTTCTCTATCATGAGTATCTATGGTCTACACCACGTGAGTTGTCGTCCACTTAACGACACTTTTTGGACTTCTCACTCTCTACCATGGATCATCTATATCGGCTCCCTTCACAGGAGAAGTTTTCTCCATCATGAATATCCATGGTCTACACCACGTGAGCTGTCATCTACTTAGCGACACTTTTTGGGCTCCTCACCCTCTACACATGGATCATCTAGTGTCACCGCTTCCTTTACAGTGCACTTCTCACATTGACCATGATTCCATATTGTTAGCTTTGATACCACCGTTTGGTTGAAGAGTTTTTAGGTAAGGAGCCTTACAATGAGTAAGACACCACAATGCAACCCCAAAACTTCAGGACTATGGGTACATGGGTCATCTCCTTATAATTTACTCATATCTCATTTCATGTGGGACTCAATTTACACTTGATTTCAACAAAATATGACTGCATTTTGTACAAAAAAGAACTTTTGTTGAAGTTACCTAATTTATTTATTGTTATCAATTGTCAAGGTGACTCTTGTGAAGATTTTTTTGTTTCTTCTTTTTGGGTGGTAAGACTCTTGTGAGGAGTAGATAGTGAATTGGAGGCTTTTGTGTCTGGGTTTTCACATTGAGAATTCTTTGCGGATGAAAGATGTCAAGGGGCTTCTTAACATATCTTCTTATATCTATATATAAACCAACATGCAAAGAAAGTATTTTAAATTGTTGATTCATTGTCAGAGCTTGGAACCAATAGTTCATTATTTAATGAATTTTTTTTTTGTTCTAATACTCTATTGAGCGTTATCGATATTTATCGAATCTATTCTTATTTAAAGAAACTCTATTGAATCAAATGATAAAGACATTGTTATGAAAGAAATGATTTTTAACAAATCATTAGTTTAACTAAATAAAAAAAAAATTAAATAGACTTTTTTTTTTTCCTTTGTTTCAGGTTGATAGATCTTTTCAATTGAAAGATCTCCTATATCGATAAGACCTGGTTTGGAAATAGTATTGTCAAACCAAGGTGCTATACGCGCCGTGACATAACAAAAATAAACTCCAACAAAAAATAGTTTTTAAAAATGTATTAATTAGGTAATAAACCCTTCGTTGGGTCCAATTTTTGGACCACCTAATAGTAACGCGTTCGGGGCAGTTTCTCAAGTGCTGGCTACAGTTTTCTGCTGAGATGTCTTCCATAACCATGCTTGCTTGTCCTACCTTCATAACTTCACGATCAAAGCCATGCCAAAAATGAGTGCCTTTACTGTTGTGATTTGTTCGAAGTATTACCGATGTTTCTATTATTTGAGCAATTCAATGTTATTTAATTGGGATATGAAAATTAATAAAGAGGAGTTATGGTGGATTGGTGGTCCAATTTTTTATATTAATTTTCCTTTTTGATTGACCTCCTATGACTTTGTTATTTTAAAATAGTCTTGTATATGAAAAAAATTAATGAAGAGTTAAACTAACATAATTTTGTGCTCAGTAGGAACAATCTCTTCATCATAGTGTCCTCTTCACAAACTAACATATGTTTTAGCTAATTTAACTTTATTTTTATTCCTAGCTCATCTAAATATCCTTTTCCTATGGAATGATAACATTTATTGATCGAAACTGAAAGTGTTGCAAGTAGCATTATCGGGTCTATTCTGACTACATTATTAATTAAGCACAAGATAAACGGATTCTGTTACTGTAATTGAACTTTCATGGTAGAAAATAATTCATAAGCTGGTCCAATATATTATTGATATTCCCTTCTCAACATTAGGTTCACTGGAGTGTAAGTTGTTCACTTAAAAAAGGAAAGTATTTTCAAACAAACTTATCAATGTTCTTTTTCATAATCTCTGAGACAAGAATATTGTAAGCTCTCTGTCGGGTGATAACTGTCCCAAAACACATATTTAGAGACATCTTTACAGACTTTTAAGGAGAGAGGATTACATATAAGACCAAATTTCACATTTGCAATGCCACAACATGCACTATCCTCCGCTTCAAATCCTATTCCACAAGCAATGAGTCAGTTTGTGAATTATAATGTAGAAATTTGACTATTAGTCTTTTTCCTCCTTTAGAATAATATTTTCATGATAATAAAAATATTATAACATACCAAAGGCTTCATGCATTAGATTTAGTTGTGCTGAAACAACTTAAAAGTTTTTAGTGCTAATTATAGATGGAAAAATTTACCAAACCAATTGTGGTGTTGGATAAGTTCATTCAATTCTTCATAGGTTTCAGTAGATAAGCCTAGCATCTGTAAGACTTGTGTTGAGAGCCATAATCTTGGATTTAAGCTTGGAGTTGTAGAGCATGGCAGCCTAGTTTACTGATTCTACACAGTTCCTTTCTATTCGTCCTTTTCTGTTCTTTGCACTGGCACACAACCTACCTGTGATGAGCCAATTATTACAATCCTTCTTGCTCCCAATGGATAAAGTTCTTTCATTAAATTCATGGAATTTCCGTAAAAAAAATGTCAATTATTCTAATAAAAGTAATGTTAATGTTAACATCTTAGCCAATGGAAAAACCATTATAAAAGATTATTTTATCACAGTTATGTATTATAAGGTTAAGATGATTTAACCAACATCCTATTGTATTTGTTGTATTCATTTTAATTTTCATTTTAAAAGAACATTTTGCTAACAAAGTATAGAATTAAACTATACAATGGATTATAACTTAATGATAAAAATAAAATGCAATAGCAGAACGTGGAACATATAACAATGTTGAAAAGGGCATGGCATTAATATATGTTTCTTTGTATAATTCAACTATTATTATCAACTTTACCCTGTTCACATTAAAAGCATACCTGCACAAAATTGAAAGATATATTGACTAGCATACTTGTATACTTGCAATTTCATATTCATGCTGTCGGAATAGTGTCATAAAATATGTTAATGGAATGTCATAGTTTCCTATGCACAATAAACATTTTTTTTTTGCTAGAATGAGACATGTCCTTTCTTCTCTCACAATTGTTTTTAATTTCTTTATATACTCTTTGAACACGTGTAGTTGATCTTCTATTGACAATGTCAACTAATACAATAGAAATGAAAAGAACTATTGTAAAATATATGTAACACAAAGTTGGAAATAAAATTATAATTTTTGACATAGAAAAGAGACTGTGATAGCACAAGATGATAATTAATGTTATTTTAACTTGATAGCAAGGTCTTCTTTATACTAAGTATTTCAACTGAAATCATGAGAATTTTTAAGATCAATTAACTATAAAAATAATTTTGTACTAACAACTTCTATCGAATCATTAACAAGTGTTAATAATAAGTTTTAGTTAGCACTTAGAAGTACCAAAATAGTCTAAAGGGATCTTGTCATTACAAAACCTTCATTTGAATTTTCTCCAATGAAATCTCTCTCATATGGTTTGAAGAAGAAGATACAAGTGAAGAAATATAAAGATAAAATACTTTATTATATGATTTTAATTTTATACTTCTACTTTGACTTTCAGCAATATTAGTTTATAAAGGAAATAGTCATATTTAACTTGTTTTCTGGCTAAAACTTCAGTTGTTGCTATAAAACTCAATAGTACTAACTGAAATTAATATAGTAATACAAAATGAATGTGTTCTATGACCTATCTTCTTATGAGTTTATTTGCTAGCTAAAAGGACTTAGATAATAGTAATTTAAGATAATAATAATTGCAACTATTTTTATTAACCCAAAAGTCAAAACCAAATATCTAGTATTAAATCTAATAAAAAATATTTCTAATCAATACTATACCCCAAACTAAGGATAACATAATTAATAAATAAATAAATAAAGGCAAAAAGAAGTGTCAGCTTATGGGATTTAGGATTGGGGCTTGGCAGTTATGTAGAGGTGTCAATTTGGCCTCAAGTCTCCTCACACAACCCACTTTACAACCTCAATTTTTTTAAGCTCCATGCATAGTAGACTTACTCTGACCCTAAGTCCTAATATATAAACAAAATCTAACTTACGGTTAGGGTCAAAAGTGGGTTAGCCCACACTTTTTAAAAAGTAATTAATAAATATTATACTATTTTTTTAAATAAAAAGTACATGTATTATTTATCATTTTTATTAATATTTTATTTAAAATTATAAACAATATATTTTAAAAATAAAAAATTCTATCAATCTAAAATCAACCAAAATTTAAAATTACAAATATTCATTTTATTTTTTTTTGTTAAGTTTACAAGTTACTTTTCTACATCAATGAATATTATAATATTAAGTATTATTTGTCTATAATTTTTATGATGAGAATATTTTATTTATTTTTTAACACATTAAATTTTATTTAAATAAATTATTTCAAACATTTTCATAATATATGACTTAACAAATTTAGTTATCGTTATTTTTTTTATTGTCAATTTTGTGTTTCTATCGTGACTTTAAAAATATTCATTGAACACTTAATCTTCTTAAAATAATTTTATAAAAATAAATAAATAAATATTTTTTAATAAAAGACACATGTATTTGTTTATTATTTTTATTAAATTATTTTATTTAAAGTTATATTTTAAATATAAAAATGTATTTTAAAAATATTTTTTTATCAATTCTATCTAATCAAATTATTTCACTTTAAAAATAAATTATATTAAATTAAGATAAGTCAAATTTTAAAATTTGACATTCATTAATTTTTGCTAAATTCATAAATGCCTTTTCTCCATTCATGAATTTAGTAATATTAAGTATCGCATGTCTATGATTTTTACAATGACAATATTATATTTATATTTTTTTAAAAATTAAATTTTATTTAAATAAATCATTTCAAATATTTTGATAATTTGATAACAAATGAATTAATAAATTTAACTAATATTATTTTGTGATTAATTTTGTATCTCTTTGTGACTTTAAAAATATTTATTAAACATGTAATGTTCTTAAGATAATTTTATAAAAATAAATAAATAAAATATAATGGTATAAAAAGATTAAAACATGATAAATTTTATGATTAATTCTCAAATAAAATTATAAAATAACATGTTAAGAAATTTTATAATTAATAATTTTTTTAAAATTAGTTAGTCCATGAATTAACTATAGTCCACTTAATCCTATATAGGCTTTTGGACTCTATGAGCTTTTTCATATTGTGAGCATTTTGGTTCAATTGGCCTTTTGGTCCTAGCCCACATGGGTTAGGACTAGCTCATTTGATACCTCTACAGTTATAGTTGCGGAGTGATGATAATGGCTGAGAATGACATCAATTGGAAACAGAATGGATTGTTATATTTAAAAATGGGTATATACGATTATCTTGAGAGAGCTCGTATAGGGTTAACCTAAATGTTAGTGTGTATACAATGTGATTAACGTGTATGTGATTAAGTAAAAACATAAAATATAATGGTATTGTATGTGAACACGTAATTATGTAAAGAACATATAATATGCAGAGATTGTGCAGTGTTTAGACATGAAAAACATGGTGAGACAGGAAAAAAAAAAACTAATCATAGCAAACATTCAAACAACCTGCCACAAAATGAGACTGAACATGTTCATGCTAATTATGTTAAATTGTAAAGTTCTTTTTTCTCTTTCTTACATTGATGTTTCGTAAGAATAAAATTAGTTAAAGTAACATAAAAAATTAAAGACTAGTGTCAAAACAAGTTATAATAAAAATGTATAGTAAAATTAGCAAAAAAAAATGTACAGTAAAGAATACAAGAATACAAACTTAATAAATTTTATTCTATTAAAAAGATAAAATATCGTTTCTTTCAATGTTATCTTCATAAAATACCTACCTTAAAGTTTCTCACAAGTCATTGAGCGTCATAATACAACCATATACCAAGAGAATAGAAGAACAATATTGTCAATCTTCTTGCAAAAAAAAAAAAAAGCTTTGACTTTTTCCAACTTTATTTTTAAATGAAGTCAATCCAAACACAATTTTAAAAATAAATAAATAAACTTATTTATAATGAAAACATAACATAAAAAATTGTTTTGAGTGGAGAATTTTAAAAAAAGAAGAAGGGCTTAAACTTTTATATTTCTTCACCTGTGTCCTTTTCTTCCTCTATTTTATCCATTAAATATATACCTATGTCAGAACCTAAAACTATGAAATATATGTTTTCTACTATTATAAGGTTTGGTAATTCAATTTTTTTGGATATTAGGAACACTGCTTATATCTTATATTGTAATGTATATGACAACAAATTTCAAACTATATGAAAGAGATTTCATTGGATTTGACGGGAAAGTTTCGCAATAGCAAGATCATTTAAGACTATTTTGACACTTCTAAATACTAACTAAAATTTATTATTAACACTTTAGAAGATTCAATAGGAGTTGTTAGTATAAAAACATTCTCATAATAGATTTTACCACTCTATCTTGATGCAAACTTGAAGATTGATAACCTCTTAATAGACATGTGTTTTGCCTTGATCGGTTCAAGATATGATCTATTCTAATTAAAATAGTACTAATCATTACCTTGTGTTACTATAGCTTCTTTTTTGTGTCAAAAATTATAATTTTATTTTCAATTTTATCGTACATATATTTTATAACAGTTCTTTTCATTTTTGTTATATCAGTTGACATTATTAATAAAGGATTAATTACATATATTCAAAGAGTACATACAAAAAAAATTAAAGATAGTTGTGGTAAAAGAAAGAGCATGTCTCGTTTTAGTGAAAAAAACATGTTTTATTATCAACAAGAGAAGTAATAACATTTAAGAAACATATTTTCTAACATCATTACGCATGGTAGCATGAATATGATATTATAGGGTATACAAATATGCTTAGAAAGATAACCATATTTATTTATTTTTACTTTTAAATATTTATAATTATTATTAAATATTTTCCTGTTCATTTTATATTTTACTTGTTTTTTTTTAATATCATAAAACATAGGTCTAATTTGGATAAATTTTTAAAAAATTATAGAAAAATAAATTAATATAAAAATGAATAAACATAAGTTATTTGTAATTTATGAGAGAAATTTTATCATTTTTTATATTAATATTTTTTTTTATCATAAAGACCTCTATTTATAAGTTTATCCGTTCAAAGTTCATTATAAAGCACAACGTAACCCAAGATCGTTACCACCACAGTCAAACCTTCTAATGGTACTATATAATTCATAAACGATAAAATTTTAGTGGCTTTAATAGAAAAATAACATTAATTAAAAACATATAATTTAAGATATCAGGAACAAGCTTTGTTCATTCATAAACTATAGTCCAATATATTTATGATAATCCCGACTGAGATTAGGTTTGATGGAGTAAAAACTAAAGTATTTTCAATTAAACTTATGCATGTTGTTTTCCATAGTCTTCGAGATAACTATGTTGTAAGTTTTCTCTGAGGGGTGATAACCGTCCCAAAACACATATTTAGAAGCATCAGGACATACTTTTAAGGTGAGAGAATTACAGAGAAGACCAGTTTCAATATTTGCAAGGCCACAACATGAACTACCCTCCACGTCAAAACCTGATCCACAAATAATGAGTCAGTTAGTGAACCATAATATTCATAGCAATATATTTTTCTAATAATAAAAATATTAGGATCTAAAATAGGTACCATGAAATTCAGCTAAGACATGCAACTTACCAAACTGATTGTGGTTTCGGATAATATTATCCATTATGCTATAGATTTCAAGGTTCACAAGCTTAGCTTCTGGAAGGCTTTTTTTGAGATCCATAATTGAAGAAGAAAGCTTGGAGTTGTACATCATGGCAGCGTCGTTTACTAAATCTGCACAATTTCTTTGTGAGCCTCCTAGTAGTGTTCTATGTATTGGCACACATCCCAGTGGTGTTAAACTGAGCATGCCAATCCTTCTTGCTCCCAGTTGATAAAGTTCCTGCAATTAATTTCATGAATTTTCCATCAACATGTGAAATTTCTAATAAAAGGAAGTTTGTGGTTATCATCTATAAACGATAGATAACTTTTAGGATGACTTAAACCTATTCTTCTTTAAGAGATTATCAGAAAAGGATATGTATCATAGTTATACCAATTTTCATTTTTCTATTAAAGGACATTTTTCCTACAAAATTAAAAGCTGAACTTTTCAACAGGTTATCATCGACTGACATCAAGGCCATTTATTTTAAAATTGAATAGAATTAATTTTGATCGAATGGAATTTGAGTTTGTGCAAAAGTTTATGTTAGTTTAGTGTATTCATAAAATAATAATAAAAAAAAAACTTGTACATTCAAAGCAGACAATTTTTTAGTGTACTTTATAATTTTTGAAATATATTTTGTACTAGAATTAAAAAATAATTTATATCTAAATTTTATAAAAATTATTATTTAATTTTTCTATGATACCCTTAATTTACAATATCTCTTTCATTATCATCTTCTACAAAAATACACATTAATTATTACAGATATATTATAAAAAATATAATTATTCATTGATTTTAGAAAGTGATGAAAAATAAACAAAATTGAATTATTGAAGTGCAAAAAAATGGAGGTAGTAAAATATAAGAGGGATGAAAATAAGAAAAATGAAGACTGAGGTTAAAAAAATCAATAATTTGGATATCAAGATGTATTGATATGGAGACGTTCAATGGGACATGCATTAACACGTGGTCCTTTCTTGAATCCATGCATTGATCATAGTTTTAGCATTTTCCCATAAAAAGAACATACCTGTATAAAATCTGAAGACACTTTGACGAGGTTGCTTGTATATTCTTGGATATCAATATTCCTCCGAAATGGTGTCAAAAAATAGGTCACTGCAACGTCATTGCTTCCTGTGCTTATCATATATAAGCTTTCCCTAATAATGAAAGCCGTCTTTTCTTCTCCCACAGCTTTCTTCAGTTTTTCTATGTATTCTTTAAACATATTCAATTGATCATTAATCGACAACGCCGACTGAAAGGAAAAATTAGAAAAGGAAAGTTGCAGCGTTATCTGTGAGGCAAAGTTGGAAATAGCATAAAAAAATTAAAGACCAAAAAGAGATTATGGTTGTAAAGTATAGTGATAAATACCGCTAATCTAACTGTAAGAGGATCACATCCTGAACCAGCAGAAGCAAAACTCACTCCAGTTAAGAGGTCTTCGGTCTTTAAATTTGGATCACGATAGGGTGGCAAAGCATCCTTTAATTTAAATATTTCAGCTGAAATTATGAGAATTCTCAAGCTCAGTCAACTATTACAATATTTTTCTTAAACATGACTTATTTAATTATTTACTAAATAATTTTTTAATAATAACTTGTATTATAAATTTAGTAATTAAATTTATTAGAATCAACTAAAATAATTTATTTCATTAAGTTATATCAAGAACCTTAAGAAAATAAGTTATTAGTTTATGATAATTATAAATTATTTTATATAAGCTGTTGGTCTAAATGTTATTGAATCAGCAAGTATTAATATGTTAACAAGCATTAGTTAGCACTGGAATTACCGTAAAAATCCGAAGGAATCTTGCCATTGGAGAACCTTCCTGTGGCTTTCCCTCCAAAGAAATCCCTTCCATATGGTGGGAAATTAGCCTTCAATAATGTTGGAATATAATTGTTGTTTCCAGTATCCATGATTGAATCACCAAACACAATAACAGCAGGAATTGTGAAGTTTATTTTATTAGATTGTGACATGGCTGTTGCATCAATTGGATAAAACAGAACAAGGAGAGGACAGATATAAAGAAAATTAAGGGTAAAAAGTTTCATCATGTGAGTTGATTTTCACACTTCTGTTTTGTTTCAGTGTCTAGGAATATAAACTTATAAAGGGGATATGGTCATGTTTAGCTTTGTTGATTGTTATAAACCATTTACTTGTTGGTGTTAGTTACGCAAGCTTACCTAGTGATAAGGGTGATAATTGAAATATATAGTAACACAAGAGTGTGGGGATCCATTTGCAATAAATCTTTGACATTTAACTTTAATATCATTGAGTAGTTCTTTCTTTCTTCTAACTTGATAATTAAAATGCACCTCAAAGTCCACAAATTTGTTTCTCTGGAAATATAATAATGGACGACGATGATATATTGCTCACTTCATATATACAAGATGCATTAACGTGTTCAGTCTCATTTTGTGGTAAGTTGTTTGCTACCATTTGTACAATGCTGATTTGTAGCATTATTACCTTACAAAAATGACTTTAATAACATTCAAGTCAATAAATAATAGCTCTACCGTATAAGAGTGTAAAAGATCATCTTTGTTTTTTTTTGCAATAACGTGTTGTGTGTTTATTATGCACTTCCCTTTTTAATTGCTATTAATTAATTTTAAAAAAACTCAAAAAAATATAATAAAAATAATTAAGTCTAATTAATTAAAAAACATAAATATAATAAAACTTGTTCACTTCTGAAAGTTAATATAAAAAAGTGGAAGAATATTAAAATAAATAAATATTTTTTATTTGTTACACCAAAAGAAAATGAGTTTTAAAACGTACAAATTTGTAGAAAATTATAAGACCCATGACAATAATAATATAAAACAATGATAAATTAAAAAATTTTAAAGATTTATTTTTTTCATTACTTTTTCACATTTAATGTTGCACATCATAGGCACTGTCTGGTTACTCAGATGCTCTCCACAATATCACATGTCACAGCACTATTATATTTCATGTTTTTACTTAATTGCATGCACGTTTAGCTCACATGACATTGCGTATACACCAATACACTCAGGTTAAGCCTGCATGCAAACACGCCGGGCAAACACATTTACGTGAGCTCCTTCGAAATAAGATAATTATGTATATCCATTTTTTAAGATAACAATTATTCTATTTTCAATTGATGCAATCTTCGGCCATTATCATCTTTCGTAACCATATAACTGCCAAGTCTCCATCCTAAATCCCATAAGCCAACACTTAAGATATGTTTAATTTCCTTTTTAAAAAGAATTTTCAATTTTTTTTTTAAATATAGTATAAATTTATACTATATTTAGAAAAAAAATTGAAAACTCTTTTAAAAATAGAAAACAAATTTCCTTTTCTTATTTTTTTATTATATTATCCTTGATTTAGACTATGATTTTGATTAGATGCATCTTTTATTAGATTTAATGCTAGATGTTTGGATTTCAGTTTTGGGTTAATAAAAATGGTGATATATATATATATATATAATAAATAGGATATGAAAAAAAATAGAATAAGAGGTGAAGAAAATTTTATGATGATGTTATTCTAATATTATTACCATTTCTGTGTGAATAATTTTCTCTTAACTTTATACTTGATTTTTATTTTATTCTTATAGGAGAGATACTTGATTTTTTAAAAACAAAAATCATTGATGAATTTTTTTTATTACAGTTTTTGTAATGTTTTATGAACAAAATTTTTTACCAAACATTAATTTTAATTTTTTTTTTATTCATGAATTATGAAAGTAAGATTTTAGAATTTAAATTTTTTATATATTTGTTTAATAGCACATGCAATGCACATATACTTTATTTTATAATAAATATATAATTTAATAATTAAAAATAAATTTATATATTTTTTAATAATTATATATATTAAAATTATTTTAAACAATAATTTAAAAAATATTTTAATTGAACTTTATAACTATAGATTATATGTATCAAAATAATAAAAATTCAATAAAAACTTAAATAATTGTAAAATATAATTCATTTTAAAATAATATTTTTATTATATAATGTCAAAAAAATTAACTTAAAAATTAACAATCAATATAGAAATAAAATCTATATTCAAAAATATTAAAATAATTAAAATAATTTTTATAAATATAAAAATAAATATTTACAGGAAATATAGAGATTTATATAAAATAATAAAAAATTAATAATAATATAAATAAAAATTATAATAAAATATATATATATATATTTTATACACTATTTTTAATTGATTTTAATTTTAAAATATTCTTGAGGGGAAAAGATAAGGATTAGCTTTTTATATATGGTTTTAAAATATAGTATTTTTAAAAAAAATTACAATTTAAAAATGACAACTCTTTGTGTAGATACAAAAATTTAAAAATAAAAAAATTTTCGTTCAAAAAATTTTTAAAAATACAAAAGCTAATGTCAACTTTTAAAATAATAATAAAATAAAAAGTCCTAAAAGTATTATAAGTTGCCAATTGGTATTAGCAATTAAAAAAAATGATGTCTGTCATGTTAGAAAAATCTATATTTTTGTAATAAAAAAATATAAAAATAAAAAGATAAATAAAAGGACGAGGGAATATGAAAGAAAGAAATAAATAGGATACATAAATATATATATATATATATATATATAGTATTTAAAATAATATATATTGAAATATGATATTTTTTAAATAATTATAAAAATATAAGATTTAAACTAATGGAGTCTACCATTCTTTCACTCACAGGAACGAAGTCCTATTTTCAACAATCTAGAAATGTATGGAAGTTTACCAAATATTAACATCAAGAAACATGGCTTAACATGTGAATTCCAGAAATATAATCCAATTTTCCTTGTACATCAAATTACTAAAATTTTGTTGCTATGTGTATTCAACTATTCAGCAAAGACCAAATTTTATGTGAATACAACTGCATTTTGTAAAAGAAAGAACTTTCTTTAATGTTACCTAATTTATTTGATGTTTTGGTCAAAATGACTCGTGTGAAGATTTTTTTATTTTTTATTTTTTGGTTAGATTCTTATGATAACCTGTGAAGATATTTTTGTTTTTTTAGTCCTTAGACTTTTGAAAGGACTTAGACCGTGAATTGGAGGCTTTTTAACTATATATTTTAAAAATTATTTTCCTAATTAATATAAGCAATGAGTCAGTTTGTGAATTATAATGTAAAATTTAGCTGTTAGTCTTTTTCCTTCTTTAAAATAATATTTTCATAATAATAAAAACATTATAATACACAGAAGGCTTCATTAAATTTAGTTGTGCTGAAACAACTTAAAAGTGTTTAAGTGATAATTATAGATGGAGAAATTTACTAAATTGATTGTCCTGCTGGATAATTATAAGTTTCAACGTAGATAAGCCTAGCATGAAAGCTTAGAGTTGTAGAGCATGGTAGCCTGGTTCAATACAGTTCATTTCTATTCCTCCTTTTATTGTTCTTTGCAGTGACACACATTTTATTGGTGATAAGCCAATTATTCCAATCGTTATTGCTCCCAATTGATTAGGTTCCTTCCATTATATTCATAGAATTTATATCAAAATGTGAATTATTCAATTGATCATGACTTAACGATAGAAATAGAATATAGTAATAAAAAAGATAACAATGTTGAAGAAAGCATGTTATTGATATATGTTTCTTTTTATGATTCAACTATTTTTATCAACTTTACCATGTTCACATCAAAAGCATACCTGCATAAAATTGAAAGATATATTGACCAAAATACTTGTATAACCTACATTATCATATTCATGCTACCGGAATGGTGACATAAAATATGTTAATGAAATGTCATTACTCCCTAAAATGTCATTGCTTTCTATAATGATAATAAACATGGTTTTTGCTATAATGAGATATGTCCTTTCTTTTCCCATATATGTCTTTAATTTCTATGTGTACTCTTTGAACATGTGTAGTTGATTCTTTATTAAGAATGGGCAACTGATACAACAAAAATGAAAAGACCTAATATAAAATATATGTAACAAAAAGTTAAAAATAAAATTATAATTTTTTACACAGAATAAAGACTAGTGGTAAAAGTGATGATTATTGCTATTTTAACTATGATAGAATCATATCCTAAGCTGGCTAAGGTAAAATACATGCGAGTTAAGAGGTCATCAATCTTTTAAGTTTGGATTAAGATAAGGGAAAAGGTGTCCTTTATTTCAATTATTTCAACTAAAATAATATGAGAATCTTTAAGAACAATGAATCATGAGAATGTTTTCGTACTAATAACTTCTAGTGAATCATTATGTTTTAATAGTAAGCTTTAGTTAGTATTTAGAAGTACTAAAATAGTCTGAAGGGATCTTGCTATTGCAAAACCTTCCTGTGGATTTTGCTCTAATGTTATCCCTCCCACATGGTTTGGAATTTTCCTTCATATACGTTATAATATAATCATTATTCCCAATATTTAAGATTGAATCACCAAACACTATAACAACTGGAAATGTTTTAGATGGTGAGATAGGTATTATAACAAACGGATAAAATAGAAGAAGAAGAAGTAATTTTAATTTTACACTTCTACTTTGGCCTTCAAGAATGTTAACTTATATAAAGAACTATCATGTTTGACTTGTTTTCTGATTGGAACTTTACTTGTTGATATAAACTATGTAAAGTACTAGCTGTAATTAATACAGTAACACAAGCAGAATGTAGAGTCCTTTCACATAGAAGAAGTAATTTTAATTTTACACTTCTACTTTGGCCTTCAAGGATGTTAACTTATATAGGGAACTGTCATGTTTGACTTGTTTTCTAATTGGAACTTTACTTGTTGATATAAACTATGTAAAGTATTAGCTGTAATTAATACATTAACACAAGCAGAATGTGGAGTCCTTTCACATAAGTTATTTAACATATATAATACGCAACATTATTCAATTTAACTCAAGATGAATGTTTTCTATTACATTTTTTTTTGTCAAGTTGTTTGCTAGCTAAAAGTAATTTAGATGATAGTGACCTATAGTAATGATTGTAAAAGTTACTTTAAC